GCCGAACTTTCGACCCAAATGGGTCGACGAGAGAACTCGACAACAGACTCTGAGGCCGTCGATGAAAACCAGGCGCGGTAAGGTGCATAGTGTTCGCCCGCCAGAGAACACAAACATTATGCACCGTACCTAGCGGGGCGCCATATGCGGCTATCATATGCGGCGGGGCCTCTCAGAAAGATCCTCCTGACACCTCCGTCGCAGGACCACCAGGGCCCGCGAGGACTTCCAATGATGCGAGCGCAGGCGCAAGTCATTCCCAACTCCTCCTAAATGATCTTGCGCGAATCGGCATCTACAAAGAATGCATCAGGGATGCTTCCATGCTACGGTGCATGACTACAGCCTACGGGTGCTGGCAATCGTGTGGTCAACACAGGACGCCGCCCCATCCACTAAGCTCGAAACTAGCTTGTCCACATGTGACTTGGCCTGCAATCAACGTGTCCGTCCGTAAATACCGTTCAAACGTACCGTAAATACGAATTACGCGTTTGATACGTCAACGTAACGCAAATACACATTACCGTCCGCTACGGCCTGGCCGGTGAGACTTCAGCGGAGAAGCTACTGCGTGTCCCGCTTCGCTCTCGACGTTTGCCGAAGATGTTGCAGTCGGGCCCATGCCAACCATGACGATGGGTCGTTTGCCTTGTTGGATCAGCATGAGCTGTGCACTTCCGATGGCCACAATCAACTCGGCCGTGTTCTCTGTGCCAGCACCCGCCGCCGTCGAACAGTCCAAGACACGAGCACTATACCATACGCGACGGATGGACGTTCCCAAACAAAGTTGGCATACACATGAAGCTAGAATCGCAAAGGCTACATCGCACGTATTGGTAGCCCGAAGTGAGAGGCCATAACGACTGCAAGGCATCCCGTTAGGAACCTGCTGCAATAATCCCGCCAGCCTTCTGGGCGCAGGCGATCAAACGATACCTTTCTTCCCTCTGCCAAGAGCCCCTCTTCCCCTTGGGGGAAGGGGTTATCACTGCTCCTTATTAATATACACCCCCTCCCCCACCCGGCCAGCGGCCAACCTGGAACCTCGACGACCCCTTATGAGGGCCACCCGCCCCAGTCAAAAACCATACAAAGCGAACTCTGCCTTCCCATTTGGAGCATGCGCGGCCGCCCCGCGAGCATTTTGCACTGGTTCTTTACAGGGACGGCTGCGGTGCCAGCAGATCCCAGCTGCGTTCTGGGCGCAGGTGGTCGACCGACTGGTTTGACACATCAGTGGCTGCGGCCTTTTAGCCTTAACGTTTCCGATGTGGTTTCGGACCTCCACATGGCTCCAAAATTGGCCAAGGAAGCTCAAAGCCGGGCCCAAGAGCCCCTATTGGTGCCCAGTGGCTGGGGCACCTGGCGCGGCTGGAGCACGTGGAGTACTGGGCGCACGTGGAGCACGTGCCGCAACTGGCGCGCCTGGCACGCTTTGGCCTCCAAGGTCTGGTACATATGGAACCCGTGGCGACTGCGTTGTTCTTACGTGATGTGCTGAGGGTGGGTCTGAGTGAGCAAGACGGCTTGCGGGCGGGTGCAAGCTTGACCCCTCCCCCTACCCCCTCCCCTGGACCTGGACGGGGGGGGGATCGCGAGGTGTGAGAAGATCCTTTTTAGCCCAAGATGGCTCCAGAAAGCCCAAGATGGCCTCCAAGATCGCTGAAGTTAGCCCAACATGGCTCAATCTAGCTAGCAGCATGCCTCCAAGAGGCCCCAAGAGGACCATACTATGGATCCAATTGAATTGTGAGACCCCTCAGGACCTCCCCGAGAAGCCAGAATCCTTCAAAGCCTGAGGGATATCGATGGGTTTGGCATGCACACCTCTTCGCTTCCGATGCGTTTGTGAGGCCTCAAGATGGTCCCAAATGGCCCAAGAGAGCTCCAAGAGGGGCCCAAGAGGCCCCCAAGACGGCCCCAAGAGCGCCCAAGATCGCCACAAGAACGCCCCAAGAGGGCCCGCAGAGGCGATTTCGAGGGCTCTTAAGGGGGGGGCTAGGGACCCCCTCCTTATGACCGATGGCCTCCAAGATAGCCCCAGGAGGCCCTCCGAAGCTCGCAGGAGAGCCCCAAGAGAGCCCCAAGAGGGCCCCAAGGACCCCAAGACGCCCCCCAAAAGCCCCATAGCCCCGATGATCCAACATAGCCTTCAACATGGCTCAACACGTTCTCTGTGACCGATATGTTTCACTATATGCGTCTCTGCTTTCCAAGTCCCGTCAGCTCTCGTGGACAGGGGGCTCCTGAATGGGCTGGCTGGGATTCGCGAAGCGTGAACAATATAACAACAATGCTAACCATTACACTCCTTGTCTCCGTTATCCTCCTCCTCCTCCTCCTCCTCCTCCACCTCCCCCTCTTCTTCTTCCTCCTCCTCCTCCTCCTCATCATCATCAGCATCATCATCAACCTTATCATCATCATCATCATCATCATCATCATCATCACCACCATCATCATCATCATCCTCATCATCAGCATCATCATCATAAGTAGCATCATCATCATCAACATCATCATCACCACCACCATCATAATCAGCATCGTCATCATAATCCTCATCATCATCGTCATCATAATCGTCATCATCATCGTCATCATCGTCATCGCCATCATCATCAGCATCATCATCATCATCAACCTCATCATCATCATCACCATCATCATCATCCTCATCATCAGCATCACCATCAGCATCATCATCATCATCATCATTATCATCATCACCACCACCATCATAATCAGCATCGTCATCATAATCGTCATCATCATCGTCATCATCATCATCGTCATCATCATGATCATCATCAGCATCATCAACATCATCATAAAAATCAGCATCAGCATCAACATCATCATCATCATCATCAGCATCATCATCATCATCATCATCATCATCATCATCATCAACAACCTCGTCCTCATCCTCGATTGACCCGAGGGCGCCCACCAAATGGGCCGGTCCCTCCACTGTCCTGTGATGTGGCCTCCCCCAGCCGTCCCGCTGGACGATCTAAGAATCCCCACAAGGGGCTCAAAACGAGACGACATAATCTTGGACGGGAGACTCGTCCGCCAAGGGAGCGATCGCCGTGAAGCTGGAAAGTGACGATCGACCTCGGGGGCCCCAACAGTTCCGAATGCGCCAATCCAGGGGTGGGTGTCCCCCTTGTTGACGTCCGACTTGGCCTCCCCCGGCCGCTCCGCTGAGGCCCTCTCGGGCATCTGCTGGGGACCTAAATACTGAAGACGGGGTCGAAGATGGGACTGCTTCGCCGGGAGCGTGGACATGTCCTCCAACTCCTCCTCCTCCTCCTCCTCCTCCTCCTCCTCCTCCTTCTCCTCCAACTCCTCCTCCTCCTCCTCCTCCTCCTCCTCCTGCTCCTCCTCCCTCCCTCCTCCTCCTCCCTCCTCCTCCTCCTCCTCCGTCCTCCTCCTCCTCCTCCTCCTCCTCCTCCTCCTCCTCCTCCTCCTCCTCCTCCTCCTCCTCCTCCTCCTCCTCCTCCTCCTCCTCCTCCTCCTCCTCCTCCTCCTCCTCCTCCTCCTCCTCCTCCTCCTCCTCCTCCTTCTCCTCCTCCTCCTCCTCCTCCTCCTCCTCCTCCTCTCCTCCTCCCTCCTCCCTCCTCCTCCCTCCTCCTCCTCCTCCTCCTCCTCCTCCTCCTCCTCCTCCTCCTCCTCCTCCTCCTCCTCCTCCTCCCCTCCCGTCCCCTCCTCCTCCTCCTCCTCCTCCGTCCTCCTCCGTCCTCCTCCTCCGTCCTCCTCCTCCTCCTCCTCCTCCTCCTCTCCTCCTCCTCCTCCTCCTCCTCCTCCTCCTCCCTCCTCATCATCATCATCATCATCATCATCATCATCATCATCATCATCATCATCATCATCATCATCATCCTGCTCCTCCTACTTCTCCTCCTCCTCCTCATCCTCCTCCTCCTCCTCCTTCTCCTCCTTCGTCGTCCTGACACGGAGGTTTGTGCCGGTCTTACCACAGAAGCAAGCTCGAACTGCGCTCGCCCCGACGGCTGCCCGAGCCGCACTCGCCCGTGCACCGAACACGTCCCGAGTAGGGCAGCGTGACACGCGAAGACCGTGTCGCGTTCGGGCCCCCGCCCTGTGTGCGCCCGCCCCGGGGGCGGTCCCCACCAGAGTGACGTGCGATCTGGCATCCCCCGGTTGCACCTGCCATGCCCTCTGTGAAGCCTGGCGGCCCGAACCAGACGACGGTGTTGACAGTGGGAGCCGTCTCCGTCGGGAGAGTGGGAGAGGTGACAAAGAAATGACGACGGCATCACACCGACCGTCCGCTAAGTGGCGGCAATGGGGGGCGGCCCCGCCGCTTTGCTGCGCGATTCGGAATCCCCTGGCTGCCGCGCCTAGCAACAAAGGAGGTGTCATAACCGCTTCCGTCCGCAAGTGGCACTTCTCCCCCCTCGGTGGTCACGGAAGAAAAGGCGGCGGGGGCAGACGGGCTGGCTGGGTTTGGCTGGCGCGCGTGTGGATGGTTGGGCTGGTCCACCTGGCTGGTGGGGTAGGGAAATTGGATTTAATACATACGCTCGTGGACCAAGTGGTCCGTCCCCTAGACTCACGGTGCCACAGATAAACTCAGTGCGAGGCGGTCAAGCCGAGCGGCGGAAACCCAAGGGATCCTGCTATTCAATCACCCATTTAAGTCCGTGAGTAACACCAACATACATCCTTTGCTCCGTGAATCGCCTCAACTCGTCGTCGGCCTCCCCCTCCTCCTCTTGCTCCTCCTCCTCACCGCCGTCGTCGCCGCCACCGTCGTCGTCACCGCCACCGTCGTCATCGCCGTCGCGTCCGCCGAACCCGACCTAAACCGCTTTTGGGCCCATTCCAGGGGTCGATCCTAGCACGATTCTCAAACTGCGTCTGGCAGTGGCGATGGGAAACCTTGCAGGATCCTTCTATTACGACAACAGTCCAAACGACCACGTCGTCGCCGCTGACGCCGCCGTCGTTTGTCGTCGGGGAGCCTCGGGCGGAGGTCCTCTGGCGACCGTCGGCGCCACCCTCCTGCTTGAGTATCTCTATCGAGGACGTTGCTGAATCAGCCCGCGACGCCCGCCTGGGGCCTCGGACGGCGACACAGGGGGGCGAGGACTCGAGGATCAGGGCGACGCTCTCGAGTCCAGGAGGACACGGGCATCCAACGCGTTAAACGTTAGCTTGCTTCGAGCGATGCCCACCCCAGAACGCGAGGCGGGATAACTTCCCAAGGAACAATGGCACACTTTGGGCCTTTCGTCGGCCGTATGCAGGGTGTGCGAGGCGGGTCCGGAATCCTTGTCTGCAAACCTAACAATCCCAACCTTTCGGGTGGGGAACAAGACCACGGGGCTTCTCGCAAGGTTGCGCCTCGAGAGGCTGTCTGTGGGATCGGGGCCATCAATGAAAACGATCGATGGAACTGGACCCACGTCGAACAACCGCGTGGGTCCCTGGGAGGGGGTGGAGGGTTAGGGTTTCTTCTCTGTATTGTTTGCTTTTGCTTGGCCTTCGGGGGAATCTGGATGCGGTCCGAGTCCAAAGGCCTCCGCGGGGACCTCGAACACCTCCAGGGACCTCGGGAACTCTGGACCTCCAGAAATCTCCGGCGCGGGGAGGGCGACAAAGGACGAGGGAGGCGACGAGGACGAGGGCGAGGGCCAAGACGGCAAGAATCGGAGCGCGGGCCAGGAGCCAGAGAGGGGGGGATCTGCCAGCAGCACCACGGGCCTGTGTGGTTTGGGGGATCCTGCCTCCCCCAACCTCCTTGCTCCACGTCGAAGAGGGGTTCGCCCCTCACCCTCTCCCGCGTCGGGGATCTTCTGACCCGGGTCAATCCAGACCCGGGTCAGTCAGGCCTCGCAGAATCCTGCAAGATCCTGCAGCCAAACCCGGGTCAGCGCGAAGGATCCTGCGGGATCCTGCACCCAAACCCGGGCCAGTACGGCCCTGGCCCTGCAGGATCCTGCAAGACCGGGCGCTCTGGCTGACCCCCGTTGGCATTGACCCCCGTCTCTCAAGACACGAGCACTGTCTGGATCACTTCAGGCATACAACTTTTCCTTCTGACCGTTTGACATGTTCACAACCTCCAAGAAGTACTCCGTGACATTTTCATTGTGCCGTTACACAGCTACTCTGCCAAGAAATTATCTGAGTTCTCACTCATGGAAAAACTCAAAAGGCTCCCGACCGTGTCTGGGCACGGTCTCCCCAGGGGCCCGGGCGGAAAGGCTGCGAAGACTTCTGGGCCGCCCAGCTGCGCGAATCTCGCGCCCCCCCGGAGCGCGCGAGGCGCGCGACCACCCTCGCGCCGCCCCGCGCCGCCGCGCCGCCCTCCCGGGAGGACGAGCAGCCGCACGCGGCCCCAGCGGCGACGCGCACAGCACGATCCTCCTCGCGCCCCCACGGGTGACCTGGACCTAGAGATGAAGGGGCCCTAGGATTCAGGAGAGACACAAGTACCACTACCACCAGCTAGTGGGGTAGCCGCTCCCTCCCCTCGAGCTGGTGGTACCTCCTTCCGGGATCTCTCTGGAGGCATGCCTGGAACGAGGTGCCACCAGCTCGAGAGGGCGGGACAGCCACTCCCCCTAGCTGGTGGTAGTGGTATTTGTGTCTCCGGTGAAGGATGGAGGGCAATGACGTGTCAAGCTGAAGCCACCGCTGGATACCGACTCAGAGCTCACACCCACCGGCATGCCGCCGCACGGAGGGAGGGCGGCTCGTTCTCTCGGGGTTGGGTTCTCGCTTGAGGCTCTCTGACGCTCCACAAGCAGAAGTGACAGAACTCGTGGTGCCGTGATTGAAGGAGCCCTGGGACCAACAAACAGCTAGACACAAACAACAGGATGCCCCATATGTTCCCCTAGTTTCTGGGTTTTCGTCATCTCCCCACTTCCCATATGTTCCAATATGTTCCTGGGAATCGCCGATGGATTGTGTCTGTATGTTTTTTCCCTCCTGAAGAGAGCTGGGGCGCCCAAGATGTCTCCACGAAGCCACGACAGCGCAGGATGGCCCCCCAAGATAGCGAAAAGGCATTCCAGGCCGGCACGCCGCTGGATTCCCACAGCAGCCCAACGTGGCTCAAAGAGAGCTCGAGGTGGCCACTGAGCCTCCAGAGGATGCACCCGATGGGGAAAAACCTTGTAAAACACTATTCGGTGATCGGTTGTGTCTGAGGCGTCGGGATTGCCCACCGGAGGTAACCCAAGATCGGCCCGTGGGAGGACCACACGGGCGCCAAGGGGGCCCCAAAGCTCTATAGCCTTCGTGCTACCACAAGGAACGCGAAGTGAGGAACGAAGGAGCTTTGCTGGCAAAGGAGCGCCTCGGCAACGAATAGGTTCCCCGACCGAAATCGAAGGAACTACCCGAATACTAGACTTTCCCAGGAGCGCCCCAAGTGGTCCTCAGCACCTTCATTGTACAAAATATCACCAGAGAGGCAACAGATGGGGACAAGCTGACCACCCCTGGGAGCGCTCATTGAAGCATCCCCTGGTTGGTAACTGGTCTACAAGATTATCCTTCGACACCCGAAGGCCCCCAAAGGGACCCCAATAGAGCCCCAAGAGCTCCACAAGAGATCCCCAAGAAGGCTCCAAGCGGCCTTCAGGAAGTCCCCGAGGTCAACTCTAGATGGGGAATGCTACAACTGATGTGAGGTTTGTGTTTGTCTTCTGGGACAACGACGAAGACGAAAGAGAATAACAACAACCAAGGAGGGGAACGGACAAGGAGAAGGACGACGAGGCTATGGAGACGATGGAGACTACCTCGACGGAATCCTTCGCTTGTCACGACGGGCGCTGGAGCACAGAACTCCTCAACAACCTTCAAGGAGATTCGGGTCCGCATGCTGAAGGCTCTTGAACTCAGGGATGAAAATTACCACTGAGGTGGAGTCATCGAACCAATGCAGACCGCCCACATCAAAATAGATGAGAGGAGGAGCAACCTGGAAGCCGTAGGCCGACACGCCACCCGACCCCACACTCCCTCCCGACGATTACGGAGCCTGACCCTGTCGCCGCAGCGGGCTCAAGGTCGCCACGTCCAGCAGCGATTATGGATCCACCATGTCATCGTCCTCCTCCTCCTCCTCGTCCTCCTCCTCGCCCCCCCCCCCCCCCCCGTCCCCCTCCTCTCCCTTCCTCCCACCGTCCTCATGCCCCTCTTCCCTCTCCTGCTGCTCCTGGTGCGGCACCTCTGCGCTCCTCCTCTCCTCCTCCTCCTCCCCCTCCTCCTCCTCCTCCTCCTCCTCCCCCTCCTCCTCCTCCTCCTCCTCCTCCTCCTCCTCCTCCTCCTCCTCATCCTTCTACTTCTCCTCCTCCTCCTCCTCCTCCTCCTCCTCCTTCTGCTCCTCCTCCACTTCCGCCTCCGCCTCCGCCTCCTCTCCCTCCTCCTCCTCATCGTCCCTGCCCCTCCGTGGAGGCACGCGGGCAATGAGCGCCAACGCCGTGTCCAAGGGGTGCAGGGCAGCCGCCGAGCCCCCTACACCCCCTGGAAGGGCAGGACAAAGAGGGCTGAGGGCCCACGGAGGGGGGGGGGGAGGGGATCGGTCAGGAGGCAACTCCTGCATGGGAGGTCCTGGTGGGAACAGTTGAAGGAGACTGTGCCCGAGTACGAAGCCATGGAACCAGATTAAACCAGCAGCCCGATGAAGCCTGGGAGCAAGTCCGATGGAGCGGGACTCGTCGGAATTCAACGGGGTCAGGCGGAAGTAAGCTGGAAGTTCGCCGCTCAGTCGCGGCTTCGAAGCACTAACTGTCCCTGGCATCTTCCCTGTGGCCCTCGTCTCAGGCCCCGACGAGGTTTCTCGTGGGCGCCCGAAAACCAGACGCCCCCCTGAACCCGACATGGCCCTTCTTTGAGCGTCTTTACCGCATGGCTTGCGGGTGAGTGAAGGAGCGAAGCCAGGGTAGGCCAGCTCTCGGCCACGGAGATACTGGCGGCGATGCTGGACTGATCCTCATAGGAGCTGCATCTTAAGATAAGGGCCCCGAAAACGTAGAGGCCTCCCAAATGGGGTCCAAATAGATGGGGTCGAAACATCTCGCCGCATCGCCGATACATCCGCGATGCATCGCCGACGGGGACCTGGACAGATCAGGACACTCGGACACCAGCGCGCCCCAGGAAGCTCCGGCCGTCCCCACAAGGCCTAGAACACCCCAGGACCTCCCTGCCTGTCACGACTACGACGACGACGACGACGACGACGACGACGACGACGACGACGGCGGCGGCGGCGGCGGCGGCAACGGCGGCGGTGGCCGCGACGGCCGTCCTCGTCGCCCTGTCTCGTCCCTCCTCACATCGTCATGTCTCGTCCTGCCTTGTGAGGCCGTCTTGGGGGCGCCTTGGTCGGCGACGCTCAGGAGTGACCCCAGTGACCCCAGGCGAGAGTGACCTCTGGTGCGCGACTGCCGGGGGCCACGGGGAGGCCACACCCGAGCGCGCAAAATGCTGCCATCGCATCGCCTCCAGCCAGGCGGGGACCCCCGCGTGCTCGCACCGTTGAGCATCGTTTATCCGGTCCCCATCCCCAGCGGCGTGGCCTGGGCCCCACTGGCCGATTGACCCCCCCAGACGGGGTTTCGAGGGGCGTCTCCCCGAATGGGGAGGGGGGGTAATCTGGCGGGGGTCTCGAAGGGGATGTGGATGGGGACGGGGATCGGTTAAGCGGTACCGACGACAGGCCACTCTGAACTCGGGCCTGTCCCCCTACAGGGGGATTTCCGACGAAACATAACAAATACACCCAAAATTAACAAAAAACAATCCAAAAGTAGTCTAGGGATCACTTTTTGAGTATGTTTGTTGCCTCCTTGGTGCATTTGTTGGGGGTATCCTGTACTTTCCGACGAAAACCCCCCTGTATGGGGGACAGGCCCGACTTCAGGCCACTCTCGGGGCCGTCTCGGAAGCGTCTCGGAAGCGTCGGCGGCCGCGGCGGCGCGCCGCCGCCGGGCCCCGGGCCGCTGGCGGGCGCGCCGCCGCTGCTCCCCGTCCCGGCGGGCGCGGCGTCCAGGCGGACGGCGGCGGGCGCCTCCGGGGGCTGGCGCAGGGGGCCTCGTCGGCGTCGCCGCCTTCGTCGGTCGTCCGTCGTCGGTCACTCGTCGTCGGTCGGTCGTCGGTCGGCCGTCGGTCGTCCGTCGGTCGGCCGAGGATCCTCCGTCGTCGGTCGTGGGAGCACACGGGAAGTCCTCGTCGCCCGTGGTGTATGAGCTCGGAGTGGTAGACCTGGGTCTTAGATCATCCGATGCTGAACCTCAATCCGTAATGCCCTAGCTAGCGGAGTTGTCGACCACCCCCAAAATCCATTGTCGTCTTTCCAGGACGAACACCCAGGTTCATCATGCGAAAATGATACACCGTGGTTGATGTTCTCCCTGTGAGGCGCCTGGATTGGGGGGGAAATAATGAAAGAGTGAACCATGCAGGCCCCCCCCTCTTGATTATGACTCCAGCGAAATGAACCCCAGTATGCTGTTCCATAAAATTTAACAGATAAACAAGAGATAAGATCCAAACATAATGGATCTCCCCTGGTGACGGGGTTGGGGTGGCAGATAACCAGTCGTATCATTCCAACTTAATAAGCCAAGTCATGGTATTGGGGTTATGGAGCTAGGTTTCGGTCGGGCATGTCCTCCTGCATGCAGATGTTGGGCGAAGCATCATAACTAGAAAACAAATGTTCAGCAATAGTAAGAAATAGTAGGTAAATCGTCCCCTGAGTTGATTGTCTTTGAATACTCCTCCTGTAGGAGGGACGTGTCAACTGAAAGCCAAGTGCCCAAAACCATTATAAAGCAAACTTCGCAATGTTCCAGTGGGAAGATTATCAACCCCATTTCATGTATACTGAACCTTTACCAAAACCAGTGTAGCATGCTCCTGGGGGAACATTATGATACCAAGCAAAGACTCCCGGAACAGTATAAGCCCAGGTTAGCATCCGTTGGAGGCCCATCCTGTCGATCGTCCATCGTCCGTCGCCCGACGGCCCGTGGTCGCCGTCGTCCTTGGTCGTCCGTCGTATTCCCTTCTCCTCAGCCCTCATTCTCGCTTCCACCATCCAACCCCCAGCAGCCTGGAAGGCGCAAGGCCTGGGAGGCATCGAGACGGCGAGTCACCCCGAGCTCGGGGAAATGGAGGCCCGAGCCATCGGCACGCTCGGCTCGACGGCGGCCCTTCGGCACACCGGGGCTGGCACACCGACGAGAAGCGAGGAAGACGTCCAAAAACCTGCCCCCACCTGAGCCCGTCTAAGACGAAGCCAGGACGAGGATAACATTGGATGAGAACAGGTGGGGATCTCTGAGATCTGGCGGCTCTGGAGGACGTATCGGGCGCCGCGGCCTCCTCAGAGCGTTCCCGAACGCTCGCTGTGAGAGCGTTCCAGAGCGCTCTGGAAAACACTCATCCTCGTCCCAGCCCCGCCCGCCTGCCACCCCCAAGACCACCAACGTCCTGATTGTTTTCCAGGACATGGACCCTGTGAGGTCTGGACAACTCCCCCTGGACCAGTTGTTCCGCCCAGGCCGTCCGTGCTCGGACCCGAGGCACGGTGAGAGACCCCAGAGGCCGAAAAATAGCGACAAGCCTCCCGCACCGTCTTCGCTTCACACCGCGAGGGCCCTGGGCCGGCCGGCGACCCTGACAAGAAGAGAGCCCCCCGAAGCTCAGACGGGGGTTCTGGGGCACCCCTTGAGGGCCTCGTGCAGCCTGTAGCGGCACTCTTCAGAGCGTCGGATCCCGACCTTCCCGGACGCATCTTCCCTCGTGGGGAGCGTCGTCCGGGGTCAGCGGCACCGGCCGTAAGGCCTCAGCAACAGCGTCCGACCTCCAGTGCCGCGCCCGTTCCACGACGCGAGGGGCTCTGGGCCTGCCGCTGCCCCTGACCCCCCGCTGGTGACGGCATCTGGCTGGCGTGGGAGAAAACCGGGGCCCCGTCTGTGCTTGCGCGCGCGTGGCGAACGCAGCGCGCAAGGCAAAATCCCCACATAAGCATCACCCAGCGAGCCGAGCGGCAGCGCGCCCAGCTGACCCCCCCCCCGGCCCCCCCCGGCCCCCCCCCCCCAGCGGCGCCGAGCTGCAGCGCGGCGTCCCGCGCCCCGAGCCGCGGCCCGGCGCCGGGGCGCGGACGGCCGACTGCGCCTCGCGCAGCCCGCGCTCGTGCTCCGCGCACACCTTCCTGGGGCAGGCGGCGGGCACTCGTCGGTCGCGCGGAGGCCCTGAAGGTCCTCCTCCTCCTCCTCCTCCACCTCCTCCTCCTCCTCCACCTCCTCCTCCTCCTCCTCCTCCTCCTCCTCATCCTCGCTCGTCCTGGAGGTCCCTCGTCGCCACTGCTGGATGCTCCTCGAGGTCCTTGACGTCCCTCTGGGGGACCTGCTGACCGGGGTCGATGCACACCCGGGTCAGTCGGGCTTTGCAGGGTCCTGCAGGGTCCTGCGCGCAAGAACGGGTCAGTGCTGCCCTGGCTCTGCAGGATCCAGCAAGACCCGGCGCTCTGGCAGACCCCAATTGTTATTGACTCCCGTCCCTTGAGCCCCGACCCCCGAGTGAGTCGTCGCCCCTGGACCCCCATCCAGAGCAGAGTGGCAGGCTTCGGCTGTGGCAGGCTTCGGCCCCCGCGGGCCGCCTCTCGAAAATCGGTGCGGGAGGCCTGGTCTGGAGGTGGTGGAGCCGAACAGGTCAGCAGGTCGGAGGCGTGGGGTCACCGTCGCCGCCTGCCTCCTGCCGCCTGCCATCGCCGCCGTCATTCCGGTGGCAACGCCGTGTGGTGCTTCGGTTGAGCCCCGCCAAAGGGCGGCGAGGAGGACGACCCCGAACAGCCCCCAGAGACCCACCCCGCACCTCTTCGTGGAGGAGGACGACGACGACGAGGCCCCATGGTTCGCTGACCGCATCAGAACCTAAGCTCGGGTGCCTTCTCGGGGTCTGTTGGAGGCGTTGTACATCCGAGGAGCAGGAGTAGAGGCCTCCTAGAATGGGTACGAGCAGATGGGGTCAGAGGATCGCGCCGCATCGCCAATGCATCGGCGATGCATCGCCGATGCAGCAGCGATGCATCGGCGTGAAAAGACGGGCTTTACATCGAGCCGCATCGCCGATGCATCGGCGATACGGCGCGATCCTCTGACTCTATCTACGCGGACCCCATCTGGGAGGCCTCGAAGGAGGGATGTAGCCGACAGTGCTCTTAGGCAGCGTCCTCACCCCAGGTGCGTGGGAGGAACGGGGGGGAGCAGAAGGCAAACAGGTGCCCCGATCCTGATCCTCATCCTGCTGTTGCTGCTGATGCTCTTCCTCCCCCTTCATCCGTCATATTCCCCCCTGCCTCTGCGGGGACGAGATGGACGAGAACTCCTATCACTGCTCGGAAAGAACCCCCCAGAACATTGAAAGCACTGGTACCTGCAAGAACCCTCCACTGCTCCTCCTCCTCCGTATGCCTTCACCGTCTCCACCCCTCTCTTCCGTCCTCCTTCCTCGTCCATCCCCCTCTTTCTTCCTCAACACCCTCGGGCGCAGGCTGTAGTCTTCTCCTGTGGTGCGAGGCGCGTCGCAGCCTCGGGGGAGGGGAATTCTGGCAGCGATGCCGATCAGCTCGTGTTGTGCTGGAACATCTGCTGTCCAGGCTACACGGCGGTGCAGTCCGGCACTCGTGACCGCGGTCGCGGAGCCCTGGCTGCCCTAGAAGCCGCCGAAACGCTCGAAGAATGGCCCCTCGATCTTGGCCCCGTGGCCCTTGAACAGCCGCGACATCTCAGTGGCGCCAAAATACCTGCCGTCGGCGTCAAGACTGCCCACCCTGGACCCTGGGCCTCTCTTCCGGAGCGTTCTGACAGATCACGACCGTGGTGGGGAGGGCACAAGAGGAGGCCCGCGAAGGCGACATAGCATCACGATCCCGACCCCCGCTCTCCCCTCTGGACGTATCCGGGGACCCACAGAAATATCTGAAATCTCCGAAGGATCCCCAAGGTTGTCCGAGGCCTCCTGCCAAGGCCGAGAAAAGGCCACCGAATGAGAGGAACGACAAACAAAATTCACACAACCCGATCCTCGATCCTACTGAACCTCTTCCTCCGCGTGATCAAATACATTACGGCATCCCGTACACTCAGAGTCTGCTCCTATGAGCCTTTACGGTGGCAGCAGCGCACGGGGCAACTCACGAGTGTAGGATGACGAATAAGAAGAGCAACCACAGTGGGGCCGATTTTGAAAACGCTTGCGGATGGGATGACATTTGGAGGACGATCACAAAAGACCAGTGGCGACGACGACGGCCACGAGGAAACCTGGAACACACATCATTAAGCATCGCCCAAAAAACTGCTGGGTGACGCCCCCCTGGACATGTCTTTACCGTCATCCTGCAGTCACTCTCCGCCGGCAAACCCACAGAACATCCAAGGGTACCCTCCCCAGGATGCACAAGAACATCGAAGAAGCACGAAGAACACCCGGGCACCCTCCCCGAACCAACCTCGATCTTGTACCTCGGTCCGACTGTACGGTAACGAATACGGCACACAAGCATTAAACTGTCGCAGGTCCGCGCGCATGTCTCGGATCGGCGCTGGGCCCCTCTCCCTAGCACGCAGAGCGCGCCAAGGAATCCGTGCGGACCTCCGCAAAATAATACAATATGCAGCTTTTTCTCCCTCTATCCTTCTCGATCCTCCTCCTGCCTGCCAGCCTCGATCCTCCTCGATCCTCCTCCTCCTTCTCCTCGACCCTCCTCCTCCTCGATATTTCTCGATGCCCCCCAGCCTACGCTGACGCCGATCTTTCTTCTTCAACCCTCGGGATGCCTGGCGTGCGCCACCGGATTGTCTCCCTCCGAGTCGGCGGAGCTCATGTCTGCGCCCGTGGTCTCGGCAGGCCACCCCGAGGGTCCACCAGGGAGGGGGGGCCTGGAAGCTGGCCGCACTGCCTCTCCAGAGGCGGAGCACAGCCAGAAGCATGCCTATAGGGGAACGAATATATAATGACAAAAGCATGAAGAAAACTCGGAGGTCCGCGCGGATTTCTCCGATCCGCGCTGGACACCCTCCCTGGCGCGCGGAGCGCACCAGGGGCGGCGCCGGAGGCGCCGCCAAGGGGGTCCAGCGCGGATCCGAGATACCGGCGCGGACCTCCGAGTTTTCATCATGCTTTTGTCACTCTTCGTTCCCCTAATGCCAGCCACTTTTCTGCGAATCGCCCGTGCGCCCCCATGGTGAGTTTCTCAGCTTTCTGGTTCTGCGGGCGCTGCCACTTCTTCAACATCTCTGGGCGCGCCTCCTTTGCCGGGCCCACCGGGCGCGGTGGCGGGAGGGCCGCTGAGGCCGCCGAGGCCGAAGAACCAGAAAGCCACGAAGCGCGCCGGGGAGGGCTGCGCGAGGGGCAGGAGAGCACATAATCGAATCGATACGTCGGATCGGCTATAGTGCAGTGGATCGGATCGGCGACAGTCGGAAGCCAAGTCGGGAGGGGACGGATCGGCGGAAATCGGCAGGCACGGTAAAGGCTCCAGGGAGAAATCGGAATCCGCAGATGAATCTGGTGTACCGGTACCGCCACTCCCCGGGCCTCTCCTGGGGTGCGTTCTGACTAGAATGTTGAGGCGAATCCAGCGGTGGCGACGAGGGCCGCCCATGAGGCCCAAAAAGGGGGAGAACGAGGGAAGGGTAGAGAGATGGGTACTGTTTCCTCCTCTGAGAATCCGAAGCCGAACCGAATCGATCGGAATCGGAAGCCATCCAAATCGAACCGGATCGGATCGAAGGAGGCGAAGCTGAGCCCCCGAGGGGCCCTCCGGGGCCGGCGGAGAGACCGCCCGCGAAGGCCCGACGACCTCTGCTCGGCGAGCCCCGCTGCCTCCCCCCGGGGGGGGGGAGGGAGCTGATCAGGGCTGGACCTACACGCTGTTTTTGTTATGTTTGGTTTTAAATTTCGTTTTTGCTCTGCCTTTTTGTTCCTGCATCTCCCTCCCAGGACAAAAAACAAAACACAGCCGAAGTCCAGCAGAACAGCATCAAATTAGGTCCAGCCCTGGAGCTGACCGTGCGGGCTGCGACTCTCTGCCCGCCCCTTGAGAAACTTTCGAGCGGCTACTATCGGACGAAGAACAAGGTACCCATACCGCTAGTCTTCCCTGGCTCTCCCCTTTCTCAGGGGAGCGAAGAATGACATAAGCATAAAAAACTCGGAGGTCCGCGCGGGTTTCTCGGATCTGCGATGGACCCCCCTGGCGGCGCCTCTGGCGCCGCCCCTGGCGCGCTCCGCGTGCCAGGCACGGGGTCCAGCGCGGATCCGAGGAACCCGCGCGGACCTACGATTTGTCATGTTCATGTCATCCTTCGTTCCCCTACTTTTTGGGCCTCCTGGGAGGCCCTCGTCGCCACCGCTGGATTCGCCTCGAACTCCTGGTCAGAACGAACTCCGGGAGAGAGGTCCAGGGAGTGGCGGAATCGGTACATGTTGGTTTCCCTCTGCTACTGCGGCCACGCTGGCTGGGGGTGAGCGCTATCTGGGGGGGACGGGCTCAGGGGAGAGGTGCACCGAGCTGGAATCGGCGAGACGTCGCCGACACAGTCGGACTTGATTGGACAGGACACCCGCGAGGACATAAGACTCTTTCGACGGCAACGTGGCCCAATAAATTTCCAAAGGCCATGCGGGTGGCATAGATGGGGATACGGGACACAAGGGCACCTTCGATTTGGCATGGTCGGCCTACCAATCAGGGCCGGTTGTGGGGTTGTAGGGGGGACGGGCCAATAGGACCGCGCGAGCGATTCCGATTCCGCACGTTCCTGGACGGGGCTTTGGGGGGTCGGCGCACTCCCCCCCGAGCCCCGGAAGCACGCCAACATGGATTGGTGATCCGTGGATCTGGTGCGCAGGCACCGGACCCACGGATCGGGGAAGGCACCCCCGACACGTGAGGCTGATCCATGCTTGCGCTCCCTCCAAGTCCTGTTCCCCCCCAGCGTTGCCCCCCTCATCCCCCCTCTGGCGCTCAAGGCGCCCCGCCGGCCACGGCCCTGCGCCCTTCCGGACGAGTATCTGCGCCACCTGGCCATCCGACGCCCTGGTGCCTCCACTGGGCGTGCAGCTTCGGAGCCCTCGGCCAAGACGGCCCCAAGACGGCCCCCACGAGAGCCCCAAGTTGGCGCAACGGGACCCCAAGACTGCCCACGAGGGCCCCAAGGGACCAGGACTGCCTCACAGGAGAAGAAAGACAGCCCCAAGACGGCCTGAATGAGTTCCAGAAGCACGTCCACTGCCCAGCAGCAAGTGCAGTCCAGAGCCGGCAACGGCCGCTGTCGGGCAGGCGGCCGGATGTCTTGAACGGACAACGCTTTGGAGGTAGGAAAAGGGTATGGTGTAAAGGGGTGTGGTGCTAATTTTAAGTAAAGGGGACTCTGGCGATATTATTTGTCGCAGATAGCATCGCCATTTCCACGATTGGCACCATACCCCTTCATGCCACACCCCTTTCCGACCTCCAGAAACGCCCGCTGCGACGCCGACAGAGATTCCGGCGCAAAATGCGCAAGACGTGCCAACGTCGAACGTAACGCCCGGCGCCCCCACCGCTTTGGACGCCCGACATGGGTACCGAAAAAATGGGTACGATGCCCAACAACAAATGTTGTCCCAAACCAGCAGCGGCCGCTGTTGGGCAGGCGGCCTCCTGTCTCGAATGGACACAGGCCGCGGCGGCGTGGACAGCGAGGCCTGTTCAAAAGGAACTGCTGTTGGGCATTGTACCCATTCTTTCGGTACATGTCGGGCGTCCAGAAAGACGTGCCAACGTGGAACGTAACGCCCGGCGCCCCCACCGCGGGCGCGGAGCATTGGAGCCCTCGGGCCCGCCTCCTCCGTGCAGGCTCGTCAGCACCGCGGGCCGGTCTCTGCGGGCCCCGCGGGGCTCGCGGCGGGCCTCCGGAGGCCCGATCCGTGGACCCAGCTAGGACAGGTGAGAGGCGACACCAGCACCACCAGGGCGAGGAGAGGTGCGAGGAGCAGGGAGGGGCCTCCCTGGTGGTGTGGTCCCCCCCCCTCTCGCCTCGAGGCATCCCCAGCCTCCAGCTCGGGGAGGCATCGTGGACCTCCTCGCTGGAGGTGGCCCCCCTGGCGGTGTTGGGGTCGATGCTCCCCCCTCCGAAGTCGAGGAACAAACAGCCCGGTAGAATCGTGCACGCTCCGAGGTCTGCCAAGAGTTCTTGGATCGGCGACGGCCACGGCCCCCCTGGCGCGCGGAGCGCGCCGGGGAGGGGGGGCGTTATTGAGGGCGCTCCCGCGGGGCCCAGCGCCGATCCACGACGCCCACGCGGAGAGCCGACAGCCCCTACTTGTGCTTATATGCTGTTGTCAGGAAGCACGGCAACGAAACGGGAAACGAAAACAAAAAAAAACGAAACGAAACAAAACGAACGCCGAAACTGGGCGCCGCGCCACCGAAACGGCGGAAGCGGAAACGCGCGACGCGCAACGCCGCCGAAGCGGCCGAAACGCCGGCTGCGAAACACGCATCGCCCGCCCGCGGGCGGCGCCGAGGTGCCCGCGCGCAGCGAGGGCAAAGGGCTAAGGAAGCAGCGCGAGTAAAAATCGGAAGCCCTCGCGAGGCAGACTAAGAAACGCGCAAACGATAACCGCGACGACGCGACTCCGGGCCAGAAGTCAGCAGCTGCGCGCAAACGAGCGTCGGCGCGGCCCCGTCAAAGCAGCACGTCATGGGGAGCTCCGCGGACTCCCCGGGGCCGTCAGCGGCCCGGAACCTCCAGAATGCCCGGGAAAGGCATTTTTCGAAGCAACTTTCGACGCGTCCGGGGAGCCTCCGGAGCCCCCGGGAGCCGGGAAAACATTTTTTGAGGCTGGAAAAATTCATGTTCTCTCCCCGGGGCTTTCGGCGCCTCCAGGGAGTTTCAGGAGTGCCCGGGGGCCGAAAAAGTATTTTTCGAGGCCTGAAAACTTGTTTCTCCATCCCCAAGATTTTCGGCGTCTCTGGGGAGCCTCCGGAGCCCGCGGGACCCGAAAAAAACATGCTTCGAAGCCTGAAACATTGTTTTTCTCTCCCCGGGGCCCTCGGCGCCTCCAGGGAGCCTCCCGAACCCCCGGGGTCCGAAAAAGCATTTTTCGAGGCCTGAAACATGGTTGTTCTCTCCCGGATTTTACGGCGCCTCCGGGGAGCCTCGGGAGCCCGGCTGGGAGCCGGAAGAACATTTTCGGTGTGCTTGAACAATTCTTGTTCTCAACCCGGGGCCTGCGGACCCCTGGAGCGCTCAGGAGCCGAAAAAGCGTTTTTCGGTGTGCTTGGAAAATTGTGTTTCTCTCCCTGGGGCCCTCAGCGCCCCTGCCATGGTCCCCCAGGGGCTCCAGAACCCCCGGGCGCCGAGAAAGGATGTTTCAAGGCTTGGAAAATTGTCTTTCTCTTCCCGGGGGGCTGCGGGGCCTCCAGGGGGCCTCCGGAATTCCCGCGGAAAATGCATTTTCGAGGCCTGGCCACGGGGCAAAGACCAATCCGGCCAACAATGCGCCACCGCGCACATCCGGCCAGTCAGCCAACCAACCTCCTTGCTCCTCCTCCTGCTGCTCCTCCTCCTCCTCCTCCTGCTCCTCCTCCTCGTCCTCCTGCTCCTCCTCCTCCTCCTCCTCCTCCTCCTCCGCCTCCTCCTCCCCCTCCTCATCCTCCTCCTCCTCCTCTCCCTCCTGCATGTTTCTTCAACGAGAAAGGCCGAGCGGAGTCGGATCGAAGCGCGAATCCGCAGGCAGCGAAGCCGAATTGGAAACTGGCGGATTCGATCCCCTGGGCCAGTGCGAGGCGCCAGCGAGGCGCCCGCGGCGAAACCGAATCGACCGAAGTAACCGAAGAGGGCGCGACGACGCAGGGACTCCGCAACAACCGAACCGACCGAACCGATCGATTCCAACCGACATCGACGCAACCGAACCGACCAGTTCGCGGCCGTCCATGAATATAGCCTGGCCTCTCCTGCAGGCCTTCTCTGCCGCCCCGCCCCGCTTCCCGCGAAACGAAACGCCCGAAACGAAACGCCCGAAACGAAACGCCCGAAACAGAACGTCCGAAACACAACGCGAAACAGCTGAAACGGAAAACGAAACGAACCGAAACAGGAAACTGCCGAAACGGGAAACGCCCGAAACGAAAACGGGCAAACCTGAAAACGTCGGAAACGAAACGTTTGCTTGCTGGTTTTTCAAAGAGAAGGCCAGCGGCCTCGGTGCCTGCTGCTTCGAGTCAGACTTTCGCATGCCCGAAGACCTCGAAGGCCCCAGGGCGGCGGAATTGGGCCGCGCACGCGTGCAGCGGCGCGCCCTCGCTCGTGTCCACGATGCCCTGGCGTCGCGACAGCCGGGCGTTCACGTCTGCGCCCGCCGCCAGGTGCTTCACGATATCAACAAAGTCCTTCGCGGAGGAGGAGGGACCTCAGAAGCTCTTGAAAACGCTGGAGGTGTTCTCCCAGTTTTCAGCTCATTGAGTTGCGATCAACAAAACCAATTACCCTGGCGACGTACCCAACCCCTGCGCAATGCGGGGCAGGAGTAGCTTGGGAGATTTGACGAGAAGGCGGCGACGTGACATGGACGCATATACTTCTGCGAACGGCATTCGGAAGGTTCGCAGGGCTCCAATCACGGGAAAAACGATGAGTAATTAAGTGAACCCCTGAGTCACTAAGGAAGACGCAAGGTCCAAAAGGAGACTGTGGGCAAGGGGCTTGAAACGTCGGCGGAGCAGCAACAACATGACATGGCCGCCCAGGACGGCGAGGTCCCGCTCAGGTCTGCGCAGTGCCTCACTCCGCTGGATCCACCAGCAGCCTTCGAAAGTGGCGAGCCCACCAGCAGCCCTCGAAAGTGGCGAAGGTTTTCGCAGATCGCAGCCCCCCAGGGACGGCGAGGTCTCGCTCGGCTCTGCGCGGTGCCTCACTCCGCTGGACCCACCAGCAGCCCTCGAAAGTGGCGAAAGTTTCGCAGATCGCAACCCCCCAGGGACGGCGAGGTCCCGCTCGGGTCTGCGCAGTGCCTCACTCCGCTGGACCAACCAGCAGCCCTCGAAAGTGGCGACAGTTTTCGCAGATCGCAGCCCCCCAGGGACGGCGAGGTCTACCTCAGGTCTGCGCGGTGCCCCACTCCGCTGGACCCACCAGCAGCCCTCGAAAGTGGCGAAGGCTTTCGCAGATCGCAGCCCCTCTGGGACGGCGAGGTCTACATCAGGTCTGCGCGGTGCCTCACCCCGCTGGACCCACCAGCAGCCATCGAAAGCGGCGACGGTTTTGCTGATCGCAGCCCCCCAAGGACGGCGAGGTCTACCTCAGGTCTGCGCGGTGCCCCATTCCTCTGGACCCAACAGCAGCCCTCGAAAGTGGCGAAGGTTTTCGCAGATCGCAGCCCCCCAGGGACGGCGAGGTCTCGCTCGCATCTGCGCGGTGCCTCACCCCGCTGGACCCACCAGCAGCCCTCGAAGAAGGCGACAATTTCGCAGATCGCAGCCCCCCAGGGACGGCGAGGTCTACCTCATGTCCGCGCGGTGCCTCACTCCGCTGGACCCACCAACAGCCCTCGAAAGTTGCGACAGTTTCGCAGATCGCAGCCCCCCAGGGACGGCGAAGAGAGGGCAGGAGGTGGGAGGAGGCGGGAGTAGGGAGACGCGACCGCGGTGCTCTATTTGAAACAAATACCCAACCAAGGAGGGTTTGGGAAAACCGGCAACCCTCAACACAACCAAAACGACACGCGCCAAGGCAAAAACGAGCGGAAGACGGCAACCAACACGGCAACCAAACACAGGCACCAGAAGCAACGCCACTACGAAAACCGAAACAACGGCAATTTGAAACACGTGAACAACAACGAATCGCAAAACGAACCGAAGACGGCAAGACGGCGATCCAAAAGCGGGAAAACACGGCCCCTCCAAACAGGAAACAAAACGTAGATCTTGAAGCGTTGTAAATAAAGAACATCTAAGGGAGAGAGGACGAGATAGAGACGGGGCGGAGAGGATGAAAGAAATGAGGGAGGGCGGGGGACGAAAGTGGGAGCGGAGATAGAGAGGAAGGAGGAGTCAAGCCAGGTGCGCCCGAGACGTAGCATCTGGCACCCGAAGCCCCCCCCCGCCCATCCCCTCGCTCTGCGCAGCTGCCTCCTCCTTTACGCGGACGTGACCGAGGAGAGGAGGGAGGAAAGGCGGGAGGTGGGGAGGGGAGAAGGGTAAGTAGGTGAGGAAGTGATGGGGAGAGAGGAAGGGTGGAAGGACGGCAGGAGGCTGAGGGGGACGAGGAGGGCCAGGACGAGGACGACGACAATGATGGATGAGGGCGAGAACATAGACGGATGCAAGGAGATTCGCAAACCCCTTCGAACCCTGTCCCCCAGGAAAATTCTTCAAACATGCAGCGTGGGGGGGGGGGGCGAATACGAAATCCGCCACCGTGTCCCTGGCATGAAGTGGAGTGCCCACGGGCCCATGCAGCCCTGAGGGGTAGAGCAGGTTTGCAAGGCCCTGGAGGGCTTGGACCCCCGTTTCGCGGGTGCTCTCGGGCGGCACCCAGCGCTCCCTAAGGCTTCTCGCGTGGGCCTCCAGGGAGGGCCCCCACAACGGGCCATGAAGGCCCCCAAGGCTGCCCCGACGGTCCAGGAGGGCCAGGAGGGTCCAAGACGCCGAAGATGGCCTGAAGACGCCCCAAGAGGCATCCAACAACACCCCCAAGAGGACCACAAGAGGCACAAATATTTGATGATGTTCATTGGGGTGTTTGAATCATTTGGGCGGTCTCGCCCTTTCGGTTTCCCGATGCTCCAAGACGAGCCCTAAGGGGCCTCCAAGACGGCCCACGAGGTCCCCGAGGCGGCTCCAAGAGGGGGCCCAGACGAGGAGACCCGAGCGGACATTGCGAGCCCTCGGCCCCGAGAGACCCCCAAGAGGCCCCAAGAGGCCCCCAGGAAGCCCCGTGAAGTCCCCAGGAGGCCCACAGGAAGCCCCAAGAGGCCCCCAAGACACTCCCAGGAGGCTCTCCAAAGGCTCCCAGGAGGCCCCCAAACGGCCATTGGATAACCCCAATCGGGAATCGGTTCCCAAGAACGTCGGAGATTGGAGGTGAGGACGAAGTAATCCCAACCCTCGACCTTATGATCGACCAGATGGGATGGGTTCCAGGGTCCTCCCCCCCAGATGGGATGGGGGAGGGGGCGATGGCACTAGTATTGGGGGGAGCCCAAACCCTCGACCATATATGTTTCTGCTCGTGTCGCACGTGCAGGCGGGGCGATGCTGCAAGAAGGCGATGATGCGTCCGCCGCAGCCAGGGCCAAATCGCGCAGAGACGGTCTGCCGTCCGTCTCGCGGTACCACGCGGGGTTGTCCACTGGGTTGTCGCGTGGTTGTCCCGTTGGCTGCTGTCCCTCGGTTGTTGTCCCGTGATGTCTTCGAGGTTGCGCAATCAGAACACACACACACATACAACGAACATCAATGAAGAAAGTCGAAATGAGCATCGAGATGCCAATTCCTCAACCCGTCCATCATCCTTGTCACCTCAAGCTCTCCTCGTCGTCCTCTTCCTACTGTCTCACTCCCTGCAGGAGGTGCGTGGAGTAAGGACGGCAGGCGTGGTCAGAATCGAATCGGAAGTCGGATCGAATCGGAACGTGCGTCGAATGGAACTGCATCGGCACGGAGTCGAAATCGGATCGGATCGGCCGCGCCTGGATGCACGACAGCGCCATGCAAGCGTCGGGCCGCATCGGATCGCTGGAACACCGAGATCGAATCGGATCGAGCCGGCCAACGGCGATGTCGAATCGGATCGACCGGATCGAGATGGGCCCCGGAGGGGGAGGGGCCCCCACGGGGTGTCCATGTGGCCGAACGCGGTCGGCAAGTCCGCGTTCTTCGTGGCCATGTCGGGCTCCAGCGCGCCCAACTGCCGCAGGTCCCGCGCCAGCTCCTGGTCGCCCACGGCGATGGCGAGGACGGGGAGCAGCGGGCACCGCTCACACACTCCCCCTCCCGCCCCCCTGGAAGAGTGTCGGATGTTTTGGGGGGCGTTCGGATGTCTAGGAGGCTTTTCTAGGGCTCCCAACTTCGCGCTTCGCGCTCCGCGAAGCGCGAATAACTTCGCGCTCTCGCGCCGCCCCCCCAAAGGGAGAAAAGGAGGACGAGTAGGAGGGGAAAGAGCGAGGACCGCGAAGCGCGAATAACTTCGCGCCATCGTGGGAGCCCTTGCTTTCGGAGGTGTCTAGACATACCTAACCTCCTCGACGGAGGGGAGGAAGGAGGCCCAGACAGCTGCCGGCTCATATCCAAGCCCAAGGTGTTTCGTTTATGTAGTGGGCAGGCGGGCAGCAAAGAGCGGGGCAATCTGCGGCCGACGCTCGCATCGGGATTCTGACACCTGTGGCAAGCTCCTGCCGTGACGACTTGTTTGGCAACGTTCGAGCTTGAACATACGCGCTGGGGTCGGCGTCGCGTCAACGCGGCGCGAACACGTCCAGTGTCATGACTGAAGAAGGCCTGCAGATCCCCGCTCGGAGAAACAAATAGGCAATGTCCAATGTCCAGTGCAAAAGGTGCATGTTGTGCGTGCGCCCTCGAAGGAAAAAAAGCACCCCGTGTCGGAGCCTCGGAATAATCCCCAGACTTCTGTTCCTTCTTTGAGACAAACAACTGCGGAGCGTCTTGCGCACAATCGTCGACTACTGACAAGGTCTGGAGGCCATTTCAGACCAAAATGAACATCGCAAATGATGATGTGAGTTCCCGCACAAGGATAGCGCGACCTGCGCGCAAGATCGTCGAGGACGTCTCAAGCGAAACGGCTGTGTTGAAGAAACACCTCAGGTGGCCCAGGCGGATGTCTAACATGAGGATTTGCTGAGGACGTATCGGGGGCCGCGGTTATTGTTAGGTTTCACGTCGTCCAGGCGGGTATCTTACATAATAATGCATTGAGGATGTCTCGAGCGATACGACTGTTGTCACGTGTCCAGGTCGCCCAAGCGAATGTCTAACAAGAGGATGGGAAGCCTGCAGCGAAGCGCTTAGTGTCAGGTGTCCATGTCGCCCAGGCGGATGTCTGACATGAGGGTTGCTGAGGATGTGTCAAGCGATTCGCTTGTGTTCATGTCCAGGTCGGCCAGGCGGATGTCTAGAATGATGAGTTGTTGAGGATGTATCGAATGAAACGATTGCGTTTCCCGTGTCCAGTCGCCCAGGCGGATGTCTAAAATGAGAATTGGTTGAGGATGCCGCGGACGCCGTGCTTGTTTTCATGTGTCCAGTTCAACCAGGCGGATGTAGAATATGAGGATGTGCTGAGGATGGCTCGAGCGAAACGCTTGGTCTGCATAGTTTGTTGAGGATGTCTCGAGCGAGGGCCCCGCCTGCAGCGAAATAGATGTTCTGGAAGGAATATCGAGGATGCCTCTCACGATTCCTTGGTTTGGTTGAGCTGGTGTCGGGCGGGGGGCCGTGTCATCGTCTCGGTGTGCGTCTGGTTTCGGTTCGGGTTCGCTCCCCGTTCGGTTCGTCCCACTTCGGAATCGAATTGGATATTGATTTCGAGCTAGTTGAACGCCCCGCATCTCTCGACTGTGGCCTGCTGTGGGCGAGACATGCGCAAAGACAGCTTGAGCACAAGATACCGATCAGTTCGGACAGGCGTGCCGTGCCAAGGGTGGCTCGGTCCACAACGCGACAGAGAGCAGCAGTGCTCGACACAGCATGACGCGGCACAGTTCAGCACAGCGAGGATCAATCGCAGTCTACGCCAGGATCGCGGCCCTGGTTGCTTGCGAGGGGCCCTGTCACTCCGGAGTGCGACTCCCAGGACGGTGAGCCGAAGCGCAGTCGGCTCTCCCCTGTCGTGGTGTGTGTGTTGCCTCGCTTCGAGTAAGGTCGGTCTGGCGTTCGTCTCGGTTCGTGTTCTCTCGGTTCGTCTTGACGCAATTCGTCGCACATTGCTTCGCCGCGCTTCGGCCCGTCCATTCTCGGAGCGTGTCGCGTCTGTTCGGAGTCGCCCCCTCTTAGTTCCTCCCGCTAGAGCATGGCAATGACCCGTCTCCCAAAATTGGTGTCCTTGATTATGTCCATGCTTCACAATTATACATCCCTTTCTGGGTCTGTGAGTCGGTCATGCTACACAACATCCCCACAACAACGAATGGGTGCAGTACAAATGAAACGCGGGGGAAACTTGGCCAAACATCGGCCCCCGATACCGTACAACTCCAAGAGCGTTCCACTTGCACTGGCGGCCTCACCATTTGCATCACATACATCGTTGACCGCACAACTTGCACCGTATTGCTCACACCACACCGCTTACACTGCATGGCTTACACCGCATATATTACACAGCACAGCTTACACCACGAAGCCTGCAACCTATATTCTCACCTGCAGGACATACTTTACACCACGTAGCTTGCACAGCATAGCTTATACCACATGGTTTGCAGTACGTTGATTGACCACATGACTTACACTATACAAATCACCCATCCCAAAAGACATGCCTTACTGTCGGGGGTTCACGCTGGCACACATGCTGCTCTGGTGTTGGCATGGCCTCCCAAGGAGCCTTCGACTAGATCAGAAACAGATGACGGCAAGATTCCAGCAGCTCGACCGCCATTGCTGGGACACCACAAGCAGACGCTCTGGGCCCCTCGCTACAGAACCCTGAACGAGAGGCTATCTGGGAAGCCCAGAGGTAATTGCTACGTTTACGGGATATGGCAGCTTCGCCCGGAGCCCGGCTGCCTCCCCCGGGGGAGACCACACACCAGCCACCAGCAGCAGCGGGAGCCTGTGCCCCGGCTGCTCCCCAGGACGAGCAGCGGAGTGAGGCCCCCGCACGGGGCCTCCACGGCGGGCGCGGCGTCCGCCTCGGAGTCCGTGGACATCTGCTCGCTGTCGGAGTCGCTGTTGCTGACCTCGAGGGGCAAGCGTGTGGGGGGCTGCTTCGGGGGGAGGCGAACGGGGCAGGATGGCAAAGGGAACAGGAGCGAATCAACTCACGCAGCTGATTCCCCTGGCGCCCGGAGGGCGCCCGTGTATCGAGGAATGGGCCCCTCGGCGGGGTGCACCCGTGTATCGAGGACTCGGCCCCTTACGAAATCTGACTGCAGCAGATGTCGTAGCCCCCTTTTCCTAATGAGCCCCTGTCGCCCGACCCGGGAGTGGCTCGAAAAAGGGAAGACATCCACCCGAACGACGATCCGAAACGGGCCTTGCGCGAGATGCAACAGCGACCTTACGCGGTGGCTGACGCGGGCCGCCAGCGCGGCACTATACATTGGAAGCGAGAGCGCTCACGCGGACAGCTTGCGCGCCAGTGTCGGAACAGACGACCCCGTTCTCTTCCGTCGCAGTCTTGGGATCGGAGGTACATCGACGATAGATATGCGATAGGCCCCGGATAAACCAGCGAACCAGCACGCTCTTCGGCGGGGGTGGGCCATCTGGCCTTGGTCGGCGATGAATGGGCGATTGGGGGTCGATGCGTCCCCCCCTGAGCAGATCTACGAAGCGGGGATGTATCCAGATCCACCACCTGGGAACCAACATCCCCGGAATGAACGATATCCAACAAAAAAAACGCTCAGCAACCGCGGTGGGGTGGGGGGGCGAAAGGGGGGAGCCCCCCCGCCCCCCCTGTGGTGCACAACAGGTGGGGGGTGGGCCCGAAGGGCCCCTCCCCGTCTAGCACTCCCGCGCGCAAGGCCCACCCCCCAGCACTCCAACCTCAGACCGCCCCGCGCGCAAGGAGGCCCCCCCCTTCCCGGGCACTCCACACTCTGCCCGCGCCGCGCGCAAAGGAAGGCCCCCCGCCCCCCCTCTCTCATCTCCAAACTTTCTGCCCGTCCCGCGCGCAATGAAGAGTCCCCCCCGAGCACTCCAAGCTGCGCCCGTCCCGCGCGCACGGGGAGGGCTCCCCCCCCTCCCCCCAGCACTCCAAGCTCTGCCCGTGCCGCGCGCAAGGGGGTGGGCTCCCCCCCCGGCAGTCCACGTTCTGCCCGTCCCGGGCGCAAGGGGGAAGGGGGAGCCCCTGTCTCCCCGGCACCCCAAGCTCTGCCCGCCCCGCGCGCACCCCCTTTCCCCCCCCCCCCCCCCCCCCCACACACACACACACACACACACACACACACACACACACACACACACACACACACACACACACACACACACACACACACACACACACACACACACACACACACACACACACACATAGTATTCCAAGTTCCGCCCGTCCCGCACACCAGGAGCGCGCGCCTGGGGGAGCCCCTCCCCCCCCTTCGGAGCTCCAAACTCCGCCCGTCCCGCGCGCAGGGAGAGGGCTCTCCCCCCGGCACCCCATGCTGCGCCCGTGCCGCGCGCAACACCCCCCTCCTCCAGCACTCCAAGCTCCGCGCGTCCTGCGCGCAAGGGAGCGCCCCTCCCAGCCCCCCGCACCCCAAGCCCTGCCCATCCCGCGCGCAAAAGCCCCCGCCCCCCCGCCTCCCGGCACAATGCGCTGCCCGTGCCGCGCGCAAGTGGGAACCCCCAACACTCCCACCGGCACTCCATGCTGTGCCCGTCCCGCGCGCAAGGGGGAAACGCCCTCTCCCCCGCTCCAAGCTCCCCCCCCGCCCCGCTCACCGCCCTAAGGGAAAAACACGGTAACTCAGAACAAACCGCGCCATACGACAACGCAGCCAAACCCAAAACGCTGGCTTGGAGAACTCGTTTTTGCGATTCCGATTCGTTTCTGTGGCGGTCTGCCCATGTGGGAATCCATAGCGAAGCGCCGCGAAATTTGCCCGAGGCGGGCTTTCGAGGCGCAGGTCCTAGAAACACAATAACCCACTCTCAAGGCCAACGCGTATGGCCGGCGCGCGCACCGACAAGACTGCACCGGCCAATCCCTTCGGACTTCGCTACTCTGACCGTCCTACGACAGTTGCGCGAACACGCAGGAAGGGCGCACCAATCGACGATTTCTAACAACGAACGCCCGCCTTGAGAACTGATTGCTGTTGGCCTAGAGAACGAAGGTGCGAACATTGACAACTGTTACACGGATGAGGGAAGGTTAGTTATCAAAAACAGCTTTTCCCGCGGCGCCGCGCACGTGCGTCTTGAAAGTTCGGGGCGGTTAGACGGAGCGACGCGGGCGCCGCCGCTCGCCATCTCCGATATAAGGTGTCTGAGCATTTCAAAATGAATCCTCTTTCCCCCATAGCATATGAAATCCAAATGAGGCCTCAATGAAAGATCGACCAGAACGTCGTGACTGTATGCACACGCGCGCACACTGCCTCACCTGCGTCAGGCCCAGTTGGCCCCTGTCCAGCCCATGGGGCGCCTGCGCTTCAAGGGCGCACGCCCGCGCGTGAACTGGAATGCTCGCATAGATTTGATAGGGGGGGGCATGGGATGGGAGGATCTGTGGCAGCATCGCTGATGCATGATGGGTTCTCTCTGGTCCTCCTCCCCCTCCTTCTCCTCCGCCTCCTCCTTCTCCCTCCACTGCTCCTCCCCCTCCGCCTCCTCCTCCTCCTCCTCCTCCTCCTCCTCCTCCTCCTCCTTCCCTCCTCCTCCTCCTCCGTTCCCTCCTCCTCCTCTTCCTCCTCCTCCGCCTCCTCCTCCTCCGCCACCGCGCCGCCCCCACTGTGGTCAAGAGGCCCCGCGCGGGCGAGGTTTCTGCGCGAGCAGGAGCCGCGAAGCGTCCAGCTTGGGCAACGCTTGCGCAAGTGGTAGCCCCAGGGGGGCCGCGAAAGTTGCGCCGTGGGCGCCAGCCGGCGAGGCGGGGCGCTCGCGGGCCCTTCTCGCCGCGGAGCAAGTGAGACGGCAATGGCCCAGTAGCCTTGTGGCGGTGGCGGCACCAACGGCCGAAATGCTGCATGCCAACCTGCCGCGGTGCGAACTGATGGCGTGAGGCTCCATCATCACCCACGCCCTCGCAGGTCGCTGAGCATCGAGAGAACTCCCAGCATTCGCATTGCTCGCTCGCGCTAAGGCCTGCATTGTAACCGCCGGCGCCAGGCATCGGTTTCGCCGATCGCACGGCGCAGAACGACGGGCCAAAGGTCATCGCAGAACGCGGCCGCGCACATTTCGCACTCGCGTTCAAGCGGGGCGGAGTCTGCCAAGAGGTCATTTACACGGTCGTCGTTTTCCATATCTGCGTCGCTGTCGGCGGCGGCGGCCAGGTCAGCGTCGATCGCCTCCGACGTCCAGCGGGCCTCGGCCTCACGCTGCAGCTTCACAGAGTCGCGCCAGCGCCCCTGGCCTCTGCAGATTATCCCAGCGATCTTCGCAAGCTCACACAAGCGCCCTCGCTCGTCCGCGCCTGGCTCCCGTACCGGAGCTGGAACGTCTTGCACCTTCTGGATGCAATCCATGGGTTGCCTCCGAGACCCTCGCGCCCATGAGTAGCGGGGGGGGTGCTCCCCCTTTCGCACCCCCTCCCCGCCTTTCTCGTGCACGGGAGGGGGGGGTCCCCCTTTCGCACCCCGCCCCCCCGGTTCGTGCACGGGCGGGGGCGGGGGGGGATGGGGCTCCCCCTTTTGCACCCCCCCAGCCTTTTTGTTGGATATCGCCTCATCCATCCTCGGACCCCAGCGGGCGGTGGATCTGGACTTCTCTTAGCCCCAGGGCGCCCGAATGTATCCATATCCATCGCCTGCCGATGTCACCGAATACCGATCCCCCAAGCGGTGATTATGGATAAATCCCCCCCATGAACCAATCCCTCCCCAACGTCGGCGAACCGAACAACAACTGATACCGCTACTACCCAGAACTCTCCCGGGTGCGTCCTGACTGACAATAAGTTCTAGGCGAATCCAGCCGTGGCGACAAAGGCCTCCCAAGAGACCCAACAATTGGGAAAACTACGGAAATATGACCGTACTTGGATCGCCGCGGGGGTTGCTACGAGGATAGGGGGATACAAGTGGATGCTGGGGTGGGGTCCTATCCAGCCTATCCTGGCTTAGAAGTGGGGTGCACGTGCCCCAATGTGTCTGAAGGGCGCACAGATCTAGGCGAAGTGGGAGAAGACCACTTAGCGGAGTTACAACATCGCCCTAAGCCACCTAAGGCACCGGTAACCAGTTCATAACCTAGGATCGGGCAGCACTTCTAACCACATCACCCACTGAAGGGCACTGGTAACCAGCTTAGAACCACACATAACCCACCTCAGCATCCACTTCACCACCGCATCCCCTTAGAGCACCCCCCACGGCGATCCAGGCATTGCTACCTTCTCCTCCTCGCGTGGCGTTGCCCCCGGGACGTCCTCTGCCCCGCCGCCCCCGGCGCCGTCGGCGCCGCCCGCCGGGCTCTCCGCGCTCGCGGGCGCTGCCGGCGGGGCCGCCTCCTCCGCCGGCGGGCCCCAGTGCGCCAGCGACACGGAGGTGTCCTGAGAGGGGCAGTGCAGCGAGGGGCCGCGGGAGGGGCGGGCGGGCAGAGGGCCAGAGCCAGGACAGCAGAGAGCACGCTCAGGTCGGGCGTGTGCCCCTACAGGCGGATCTGGGGCGAACCACAATCATACCTCGCCAAGACAAACTCCAGAATACTCGGAAGTAGTCATAACATCGTCCCCAGCCTTTTTTTTGTCATACTACTTTTGAAGATTCCTCCTGTAGAGGGACACGCCCAACTGAAGAGTACTCCGAGTCTCTGAGTCCGCGTCGGGAGGGCGTCACCCTCGCCGCCAGCCCCACATCGACCCCCGTCGCGGTCAGCAACCGCGCACCGAGGGCGCTCCAAACCCCCGTCGCAGCGCGACGACGAGGCGAGGTTGAGCCCCGGCGGGAAGGTACCCCGCAACGCTTGTTTAAGAAACCCAGAGCATGCTTTAAGAACATGAGACCCTCCGCCGGTCAAAACACCCAAAACCATGAAGATCACCGAGGGTACCCTCCCCCAGGATGTACAAGGACATCCGACAAGCACGAAGAACATCAGGGTACCCTCCCCGAGCCGACCTCGACCTTATACATCGGTCCGACCGTACGGGTGGACACATCGACCTGGAATCGGCAATACATCGCCAATAGTTCGGCGATAGGACCCCCCTGGCGAATCCGAACGATCCCGGGCAGGGTGGGGCTGGCCCCCGTCGGCGATGAATGTGCGATTGGGGGTCGGTGCAATCCCCCTATCCCCGTCGCCCCCGTACCGCTGCCCTTGAAAGAGGAGTCGGCGTCAGCACCAAGACATACGAGTCCCTACATGCCGAGACGCGATTGTTTTAGCCATGGTGCCCAGAGATCCGCTGCGCCGTTTCTTCATTAAGGGGTTCCCAGAAGTCCCGAACCCTTATCCGAAAATGCATCCCGAAACTGTGTGCTGAACTACTGCATCCCAGGCTTCGTGGGGTGTTCCCTTGGACCGGAAACGGCGGGCCCAATCCTCGGACAGACCATAGGGGGGCGTCCAGTCTCGGCAGGTTTCGGGCGGGACTCGGGGATGAGGGGGGGACAAATCGCCTGCGAGCTCGAGCCGCGGGGTCTTGGTGCTGGTGCTGACTTGTCCGAGGCCCCGAGAGCTCCGCCCCGTGGCCCTCCGCCCTGAAATTCACCTGGGCGCCCTCGAGGAGCAGCTCGCGGAACTGCTGAGCCTGGCCGGCCGCGACGGCGCGCACCAGCTGCGTGTGGAGCTTCGCGCGCTCCTCCGCGGGGGCAGAGCCAAAGGGGCACCGAAGCTTCGAGGCCGGAGGGTGTCGGACGAGTCTGCCAGTTCTCGTCGCCTGTGTTAGGTCGGGCGTGTGCTCCCACAGACGGATGTTCCAAGAAGAAGTAAGAGAAAATACTCCAAACAACAAACCAAACACATTCAGAGCATCGTCCCCATACTATGCTGGAGCATTTGGGAAGATTCCTCCTGTGGAGGGACATGCCCGAGTCGTCGCTCGCCCAGCCCCGCGACGCCTCCCGTCGGCTGCGCCTGGCCGGGAGCGTTTCTCTGGGGAGCCGCACGGCCGCCAGAGGCCCGAGGCGGGGCCTCGAAGGCCACGGCAGGGGCCCCCGCCTGCGAGGCCACGCGCTCCCCGGGCGTGGGCGGGCGGGAGGGCTGCCGTTGGCGATGGAGGGGGAGGTTTTGGGGGGGGTGGGGATGTCTCCCCCCCCCCCCCCGAGCCCGAGCGTGTTCTTTCTCGGCGTTTCGACGCTGGGCGGAGGGGGGGGGGAGGGGGTGCCTGGCTCCAGACCTCGGCCGAATGCGACTGTGCGCAACCGTGCAGTCCCATGGGGGAGACCCCACCAGGCTTCTGTTGGTGATGAGATTGGGGGGGGGATACAGCCCCCCCCGGGCCCATCCCTGCTGGGCCTGTTTTCCACCACCACCACCACCATAAGTTGGATGGGGGGGGGAAGGAGGTGGAGGACGAGGAGGAGGAAGACGAGGAGGTGGAGGAGGAGGAGGAGGAGGACCCGCTCCTCCTCCAACTTCGGGTGGTGGTGGTGGAAAACAGACCCATCCATCCCCCCCTAGCGTTGCCCCCGAGTCCTCGGGGGTGAAGGGGCGCCTCACGACGGTGACCTCTGCCGACGGGGCCTGGCCGAAGACGTCCCGCAGGCTCGCGGACGGGTCGGCGAGGGTGCTCGTGCCGAGGATCAGGTGCTGCACCGAGATGGGCATCTCGAGCCGAGCGCGCACCTGGGGCGCTGGAGCCCTCGGGGCGATGGGCCTGGCTTCCACCACCACCACCAGAAGTTGGAGGGGGGGAGGAGGAGGGCGAGGAGGAGGACGAGGAGGAGGAGGAGGTGGAGGAGGAGGAGGAGGAGAATGAGGAGGACCCCCTCCCCCTCCAACTTGTGGTGGTGGTGGAAAACAGGCCCATCATCGGGGTCCATCCCTCAGTCCTTCTCTCCTATCTCCTCTTCCGCCCCGTATTCCGCAATCTCCTGAGCGGAGTTCTGAAATCCCGCCAACCCTGGGGCGTCCGCTGGCAATCTGGCAGGTGCCAGGACGTCGAGAGCTTCGCTGGCAGCACACTTGGTTACACAAAAGAACAGGTACTGCGATCCGATGTACACGGCCACGGTAGGCCTGGTGACGCGACGCGCTGGATCGATCTGGGATCGGAGGTGTTCCGGGGGCAAACTCGAGAAGGCCTGGCAAACGGTGCGTGCTCGATTCAATGAACGGCCAGGAGGTATCATCACATGGTCCATGGTCAAAGGGCCAGTTGCGGGCGCATGGTGCAGTCTTGATCGGGTTGGCTAGAACATGCTATGTTCGACCATGCTGCAGACAGATGAGGGGGAAAGATATCATTGCTTGTTACATGCCCGCAGGAAGTGGGGAGGCTACTTCGCGAAGAAATACAACGAGGGCAGCACAAGACGATACTATGCCACCACAGCGTTGGCACCAGCATTGACGCGCCGTGATGGCGTAGGGCCATGAGGGCCATTGTGGCAGAACCCAAGGCGGCGATTGGCAAGGCCAGACAGGCTGGCTGTATTCGGGCACTATGGAGTGGTACGCCGTGGACGCAGTCACAGAAGTATGCAGTAGGCCTGGCTCGAGAAGAATCTTGTCGCGTGTGCCAGGAACCACTTGATGCGCCAAGGCATCGTTGTCATGGGTGCTCTGGGGTTAAGAATGGAGGCCAGATCGAGGGACTGGAGCTGCCTGAAAAGTTGCTAGAGGTGCAGAAGTGGCTCGAGGACAAAGGGTCCCAGAATGGACTGGGCAAGCCTGACTACGAGACGCTGGAGCTATCTGTGGGACTACCTACGCTACCGCCGCCTGCTGACCCCCCTGCCAATCAAGCGCACCTCTTCCTATGGGGCGACTGGGCGTCTTACGCGCCAGAATGGTCGGACACTATCTTCACTGATGGATCTGGGTACGAAGCCTCCAGTTCTGAAGTATGCTGATGTGGTTGGTCAGCGATACAAGTATCTGAACAAACTGTGCCGCTAAGGACAGTGCGTGGGCCGCGCCCAGAGGCGCGACAGACAGTTGGCAGAGCTGAACGATGTGCTGCTTGTCAAGGGCTGAAGATGTTCCCGCGCGTACGACTGGTAGTGTCCGACCTGGCTGGTCTAGTACGAGAAGCGATCAGCTGGACGGCGCAGTTGGAGGCCTCGGCGGGTAAACATGATGATATATGGAGGAAGGTATTCGGTACGGTGAGGGAGAGGCCTTCTGCAGTTGCTTGGACGCCAGCACACAAGGACGTCGACGAATACCTGCAAATAGGTGTGCATCCAATATGGTGGTATGGCAAGTGGTGGGCAGAGTATTTCGCCAAGGAATAATCGCTCAGGCATAGAGCGTCGAGAGCATTGGTGGACGTCTGCCAAGCGGAATTGAGACACCACAAGACAATCAACCAATACTTCTCCCGTGTTATGGAATCTATGGTCATGGACGGGGCTTGGAAGGACCTCGATCTACTACCGAAGCTACGGGAGGTTGGGGCGCCAGTGCAGCTGGCCCTACCGCAGCATCGTTCGTGGAGCTCAAGGACGGCTACATGCGATGCATGCGATGTGGCAAGGGCGCGAAAGGACCTTCAAGTGCCAAGCCCAGGTCGACTACGTTGGTAAGGCGGAGGTCCCTACACGGCGGTTTGAGGCAGTAACCCATGCGTTGCTGGGAGCTGATCGTGTGTTGGGGGGTTCGACCTACCATGTTCGAGGAGAAGAGCTCGCACTGTCTTTTCAACGCTGGTCCGTACACGGCGTGCAGAAAGTGTTTTTTCTTCGGTGACGTCTCGTCAGGTTCGTCCAGATTATTGCAACGATGCGCACGAGGCCAAAGGTTGTGCAAGTCCACGGCCTACGGCAAGCAGAATGTGAAGAAGCTGGAGCGCCTCCTCGATGCTCGGCACCCAGTTTCGGGAGCAGTGCTGAAGCCCGTTGAGGCCACTTCGGCGAGCTGATCGAGAAGATACTTTCTTTGATGGCCGCACCCCCTTCGTTGCAGCGGACGTGCGTGAGCACTCTTCTGGCGGGCTGGTGGTTTCAGCCCGCTTGGCCGCTGAGGGTGTGCTGGGGCCCTTTCATACTCGTATGAGGTCAAGCACCTGAACTACCTCCCTTGCTCTTTCTGGCCGCACCCCTCCGTTGCAGCGGATGAGCGAAAGCTCTCTTCTGGTGGCTGACGGTGTCAACACACTTGGCCGCTGAGGGGGTGTTGGGGCCGAGCAGCTACATACGTGGTCGCGATCGTGGCGCCCATCTCTTCTGGCCACACACCCTTCGTTGCAGCGGATGAGCGTCAGCTCTATTATGGTGGCTGACAGTGTCAGCACACTTGGCCGCTGAGGGTGTGTTGGGGCCTTCGCACTTGCTCGAAGGTCGTGATCCTGAGCGACCTCGCTGCACTGGTTTCTGAGTATTGATGATATCTGGAGATTGCCTGGATCTGTTATATGTTTGGTGGTTGTGAGAAGCACCTGGTCTTCTACGACGACCACGTGGACTGGGAGTTCGCGCCCTGAGGGCCGCGGCTGGCGGCCAAGTGGACAAACGATGTACTCGAGCGGGCCCGTCCTCGGGCTCGCTCCGATGCGCTCGCGGAGGACCCCCTCCCCCTCCAACTTATGCTGGTGGTGGTGGAAAACGGGCCCATCAGCTCGGGCGCCCCGCGATCACCCCAGATATGTGCCTTGACGGGGACGCGAGGGGGGCTGGCCAGCACACCGGGCCCCACGAGCGAAGGCCTGCCACCCCTTGCCAAGAGCACATGCAAACTTCACAGTGGGGCGACATCTTTGAAGGGGCCCTGGGACACACAAATGAATAGACACAAATAACAGGATTCCTCATATCATCCGATATTTTCTGGGTTTTCGTCTTCCCCCCCACTTCCCATATTTTCCTCTATTTGCGGGGGAATCGACGATTAACTGTGTCTGTGTGTTTCTTCCCTTCCTGAATCTTGCACCACGCGCGGGCGGATCGCGGTCACTTTGCAGCGGCGGGGGATGCCCTGTCACGCGCGGTGCACCTCGCAGGGGTCGCGCACCTGGCTGGCGTCTGTTTTGGCTCTCGCTGGTTGTACCTCGTAGAGCTCGTCGGCAAGATGAGCTAAGAGGAATTCGGGCGCAGGGTGGAGCTAGTTTGCCGACCCGACCTTAAGAGACAATGTGACGACTTGGTCTTGTTTTTTCTATCTTTGTGCAAAATTTGAAAATTCGTTTTGAGAACCGGTATTTTTCCCACCTGTAGTGGGTTATGCCGCGTCTGCCAGTTAAATTCTCAGGTCCGTAGCTGCAATATAACTGTCAAAACACTTGCTGGAACCGACGGCCGCTTCGAGTCATCTTGACACGCGTTGACGGTTTTCTGTACTTTTCTCGAGATTTAGGACAGCTACAGAGCTGATACTTACAGACACTGATTCAAAAGCATGAGGCGCGTTCGTCCGTCCCATCTAGAGCTCTGAACCCGGTCTGCTGCTCGAGCTAGGTCCGCAAACCTATTCGTTTTGTTCGAGTCATTTTGACGAGTGCTGTCGGTTTTCTTAATTTAACTCACGATTAAGAATAGCTACAGAGCTGGTACGCACATGAGATGATTCTGTATCATTAGGCGCGTCCGTCTGTTGCATCGAGCGGTCTGAACTCGGTCTGCTCCCCAAGCTAGGTCCACAAAACTATTCGTATTCTTCAAGTTCTCTTTGCAGGCACTGTCGGTCTTCTGTACTTTACTGAAGCTGCAGCAGAGTTGCAGAGCTGGTACGCACAGAAACCGATCGAGAATGATCAGGGGCGTTCGGCTGAAGCATCTAGAGCTCTGAACACAGTCTGCTACACAAGCTAGGTCCGCAAAACTATTCGTATGCGACCGATTTTGTTTCGAACTGATGGTGATGTTTCCCACTTAACTCGAGCTGCAGATAAGCTTGAGAGCTCTTTCGCACAGAAATCTTGAAGAAAACTCAGAAAATGTGTACCGGGCAGCCCCGCGCGAGAAAAGAGCTCTACGAGGCTCCCGGTGGTAACCTGGTTGACGGTTTACCGCCGGCTCCCAGTCGATGCCGGCCCCTGCCCATGCTGAGAATGCGGGGGGGGGAAGGCGCGAGAAGGCTGGCGGCTTGAGGGTAGCGTGAGAAGGCTTGCGGCTTCAGGGTAGCGTGATCTCTCCCCATGCCCCCTCCCTTCGGCCCAGACAGGAGAAGGAGGTCCCGACGCGCCAGACCGTCCAAGATGGCCGCAGACGGCTCCAGGATGGCCCCAGCTAGCCCAGGATGGCCGCCAAGATCACACAGGAGAGGCCACGATGGCTCAGGATGGCTCCCAAGATGTCTCCACGCGGCCCCAGGACGGCTTCATGTGGCCGCGGGAGTCCTCGGGATGCTCCCGAGAGGCCCAGATCGGTTCAACAAACGCAGAGAAGCAGCGAGTGTAGTGTTGCCCTCTCGCCGAGTTGCTCCCGATGGGCCTGATGCCTCGAGATGGCTCCAACATCGGCTACGAAAGGCCCAAGAGGGGCTCAGAAGGGCTCATAAGACGGCCCTTGGAGCGCCCAGGAGCGCTCCAAGAGGGCCCCAAGATGCGATGCAATGGCCTCCGTCGAGGAGGGGGGGGGGGCGGCGAAATTGAGCCTGCTCGTTTACATCAAAATGTGTCCTCAAGAAGACCCCGAGGGAGCCCACAAAGGGCCCAAATGAGCCCGAAGAGGACCCCCAGGGAGCCCAAGAAGGCCCCCTGGAGAGCTCGAGAGGGCAAGGGGCAAGCCCATCAAGGCGTCCAGCATTGCCGCAGGAGCGCTCCAGGACACTTCCAGGAGGCGACAGGTCCGTGACCTCCGCGCTTGACTTCTGAAGGCAGGTCACAGAACACTGCCCCGATCAAGGCGGTCGTGTCTGGACGGGCTGGCGACGCGTCAAGAATTCCCGAGGAGGCCCCTGGGCCATGCCCTGGCGGCAAGAGCCGCTTCGCCTGCCGCCTGGGCTATCGCCTTCCTCCCCATTGCTCCTCCTCTCGAGGAATAAAGCGCCAAAATAAGATCGAGCTGTCGGAGGTGAGCGCAGACTTATCAGACCGTCGCTGGACCCCCCCTCCCTGGCGCCTGGAGCGCGCAAGGGGCGGCGCCGAAGAGGCCTGATCCCGATCCAAGAAATCCGACCAGACATCCAACAGATAACGCTTATGCAGCTTTTTCTTCCCTCGATCCTTCTTAATACTCCTCCTGGCTGCCAGCCTCGATCCTCCTCGACCTGTCTGCTTCTCTTCGATCCCCCTCGATCCCCCTCCTCCTCGATTCCTTCCTCCATTCTTTGTCTGTGAATGACTCCTCCCTGTCGAAACTCGAGGCGAGTTGGAAGGGCGGGCTGGGCGTTTCGCCTGAGACTTCCTTAGCATGTATGATCATGAAGCTTTGTTTCACAGATGGAGGGCGGGTTGGTTTCAAAGTGTAGCTCTCGCCATAGCGCCGCGCACATTCGTCTCAAGCATGTGCCAGAGTTTCAAGGATTGAGGACGAGACGTGTTCAAAGTGTGATTCTCGCCTCAGCGCCACGCACTATAGCTTGAACAAGTCGCATTCGTTTCACGGACTGAGGGCGGTCCCTTTTCAACATGTGGCTCTCGCCTTAGCGCCGCGTGCAGTCGTTTGAAACAGTTGCAAGTCTCACGGATTGAGGGCAGGACGTTGTGAACATGTGACTTGCGCCTTAGCGCCGCGCGCAGTCGTTTTAAACAATTGAAGGGATTTAGCGGATTTGCGGCGGCTCCTGTTCAAACTGTGGCTCACTCCTTAGCGCCGCACACACTCGTCTTAAAAGCCGAATGAGTTGCACTAGTTCGCATGGTTAACGCAACAGTAATTGCGTACTGGAGCGATTCAGGGCTGTCAAAGCGCAACAGTTACGTTAATTCGCAGCGTTAGACCCCCAGGAAAGGTGATCTGGCACGAGTCCAGATCGTCCAGGCGCAACAATCGGGTTCATATGTGGCGTTGAAATCCTAAGAATGGTGTTTTGGCACGCTTCCGGCTTTCAAAACGGTTGCCATCCAACAGGCCACTTCCTTCAGTGGAAATGGATCCTTGTAGGAACGATGACGATGGAGCTTGGGGGTAGGGTTGACTCCAACATCGTTGATGATGAAACTTCGGTTTACAATGGTCGTCGATCCTCCCCCTCCGCCTCGTCCTCCTCTGCTCCTCGTCCTCCTCTGCTCCTCCTCCTCCTCCTCCTCCTCCTCCTCCTCCTCCTCCTCTGCTCCTCCCCCTCCTCCTCCTCCTCCTCCTCCTCCTCCTCCTCCGCCTCCTCCTCCTCCTCCTCCGCCTCCGCCTCCGCCTCCGCCTCCGCCGCCTCACGCGCCTCGAACCTGCAGCGCGAGGTCCCGCACGGTGGCATCCAGGGACAGCGCCTCGAGCTGCACCGGGGCGCCCGACAGCGACAGCAGCCGCACCGCGATCGTGCCGGGGTGCGCAGAGCCGCAGGCGTCGGGGCCAGCGCCGGAGCTGGAGGTGCCCTCCGCGGCGCCCGGCATGGCAGCGCCCGCCACAGGGGCACGGGGCACTTCGTGCGGTCAGCGCTGCTCGCAAGTGCTGGGCCCCAGAGGCAGCCACGACCGTGGGAGGGCGGCAAGCAATGGCTACGGGCCAGCGGGTGTGGAGGAGGGGGAGGATAAGTGTCGTTTAACCGATCCCCATCTCCAACGGCGTGGCCTGGGCCCCACTGGCCGATTTACCCCCCTAGATGGGGATATAGGTCGTTCCCTTCGGGTTTCGAGGGGTGTATACTCAACTGGGGCGGCAAGTAGGTGAGGGTCTCGAAGGAAATGGGGCTGGGAATGGGGATCGGCGATGCTGAGAGGAGGGCAGAGGGAGGAGCAGGTGGGTGCGGAGTATGCAGAGTCTGGGGTCGTTCCCTCGTGGCCAGAGCAGCCGCAGACAAAACCACCCGACCTGATACCGTCCCGAAGGGTCCTCGAAGCACGTCTGGAGCGGCCACGAGGGGAGGCATTGGACCAAGAGACGCGAGAAACATGAAAACACGATGCCAGACGTACGCATGTCTTACAGTCTGGTGAAGATTGTCGGGTAGCGAATTGCGTGATAGCACGTTGGCACATCTGAAACGCGCACGCACGTCACGTGCACACGCTCGCGAACTCGCTCAAGTTCGGGCTCGGGCTCGGGCTCGGAATCGGGCTCTGATGCGCCCTGCCGCCGTCATCGTCACCATCGTCACCAACATCGTTACTATCAGAACCGTGTCAGCCGTTGTCGACGTCGGCATGATACCGCGCCCGCCCAGATCACCGACTCGTACTGAAGCGCCCGCTCGTTAGCGCGGGCTGCGAAACGCGTTGGGAACCCCCAAGCGGTCAGCGTCACCGCGGCCGCGTCGGTCGTGCTAAGTTAACTGGCCACTTTGCGCGCGAGCCTGCGCGCGCTAGCGCGGCCGCAGCGATGTTCCAGCCAGCGCCAAGCAGTCATCGCAATCGCCGCCGCATGGGTTGTGCAAGCCCAGTTGCGGACGGGTAGGTGGGATGATTGCGCGAGCAGAGGAGTAGACAGCTCACTGGTGAGCAGAATTGCACCACACAGATTACACAACATACAGTGTACCACAAATAATGCACTATCGTATTGGTGAGCAGAAGTGCACCACATATTGACCATATAAATTGGAGCAGACATGCACCACATGAAATGCTCCACATCGACTGCACACTCTGTACTAACATTATGTGGTTCAGGCCCTAAGCGGCATGAGGTTACAGCGCCCCATTATTACGAGGGGACAAACGCCAGCAGCTCACGCCGACAAGAAAGGTGATTCCGGCCCCCATGTTTTACGAGGGGCAATGGGTCGAGCAACCCCACGGCGTGGGTCCAGCACCCAAATTTTGACGAGGGAAAGTCGCTCCAGCAGATTTACGCCAGACACAAACTTGTTTTGCAGTTTGAAGGGGCAGCCAGAGCGGCCCGCGCCCCAGCCAAAAACAAACCCGGGCGGAGTGTGCGGAGACGGGCGGCCAAGCAACACTAGAAATGACAGCGTGCTGTAAAGGGTGCGCACTGCGGTCCTCGGGCTGCGGTATGGTGGGTCAAACTTCGCTTGCCTTTCGAAGTTTCGGGTTCAGACACAGCTTCATGTGCCCTCCCCCCACCCGCTCGCACTGCCCCGGGGCTGCCTCCCGTCTCACACCCCCTCCCGATGCGGATATGTTCTAACGAACTCCCTTTCTGTCTATGAGTGCCCGCACGTGTGCTCACTGAGCGAGCTTTGATCGACTGGGTAAGACCAGGTCTGAATGTGACCTGGTCTGGGCACGAGTGGTCCTGACAGGGCCGCCCTCGAGGGAAAGCGGCAGCGAAAACAAGGAGGAAGACGAGGAAAGTGGAGGAGGAAGGTGGGGCACGCGTCGTGGACCCGGCCGAGATCGTAGACAGTGGAGATTCCGCAGCCAAGACCTGTCATCACCCTCACTGCTCCTACGCCCCCGCCTCTTCGTGACTCGGCATCCTTCTCAACCTCCTCCTGCTCCTCCTCATCCTCATCCTCGCCATGTCGCCCTCCTCCCCTTCCGCCGCAGATCCCCCATCCACATCCCCACCCTCGCCACTACAAGTGCCCATCTTCACCACACCCCCTTCCCTTTCACACCCCCTATCGCTCAACCTCCTCGTCCGCCTTATTTTTGTATGCACACCCCAAGGGGCGCAAAGCCGAAAAACACCAACTCGTGCAACGTGAGTGCAGCAGGATCCAGCTTTTGTCTGTAATCGCCCGAGGCGAGGCCAGGCGAGCTCCGATGCCGCTCCGTGCGCGCGCCCAGAGCGCCTTCTGCAGAGGTCGGCGGCGGGGCCGTAGCCCCTCAGAGTGCATCAACCCATCGTGTTCGAGGTCTGTGTGGACGCCGTGCTTCGAAAAGCATAATGATACGCTTTGTTACTCCATCGATCCGGGCTGCAGTGGAAGATCTTCTGAGCCCGTTCCATGTTCCGGTGTTTCTGAATATCCACCCAGTGCTCAAAACCCAAATTTGCGTGAACTTGCTCAGAACTGTGAGTGGTGCGTCGGATTCAGTCCACCCAAGATTCCAAGCCGAATCCGTTGCCTTTCGTACTGTTGTCGTCGGTATTGGGTGTTCGTCTCCGTGGCGAGCCTAGGATCATCCGTAGCATCCGGCGTTGAGTTGCCAGCACAAGCTGTTCCAAAGCAGCAGTCATCGTCCATGATGCGCATCCGTATAAGATTGTAGGTGTCACGATGCCGCTGAAAAATCTGAATCTGTCGCGTAATGGGTACGACCGGGAGAGCAGTTCCTGTTCGAAGAAACAAACTTATCCCAGGCGGCTCGAATACGTGAGTCGATTTCTACCTTCATCTGGTTGCAGAACGGAAGTTGCCGACCCAAATAGTTGTGTGGCTTTGAATACGCCAAGACCTCAATGTCGAGAAGGATCCAGAAGAAAACAACTCGCACGAAGGATCAATAATGAAACAACTCGCACGACGGATCAAGCAGCAATCAGACGTCGTCTACGACCGCCTCGAAGACGCAACCTCATCCGACGTGCGGGCGGAAATGAGGACAACAAACGCCAGCGCGGCAACAACGGCGCCTCGGGGAACGAATCTTGCACGCCAGCCTCAAGAAACAAGCTGGTCCGGCACAAGACCCTTGAGCGTGGGTTGTGCACACAAATGGCATCACCTGGGGGCACGACTTTTGCACTCCCCCCACACAAGCAAGCTGGTCCGGCACAAGGTACGCGCGCGGGGGCGGTGGCCGTAAATCGGCCCCCGAGCTACGCCCCCGTCAATGCGGCCTTTGACAGGTATGCTTCTGCCCAGAGCCCGCCTGAGAGCTGGCAAGCGGCCTCCGCCCCACCGCGCGCGCCAAAGCGGCCCGAATGATCTCGACGGTCGGCTGGCTCTCGGTGCTCGCAGCCTCCGCCAGGCGCACGGTCTACGGCTCGGCGAAAGCCGAGAGCTCCCTGCGTTCCTTCGCAATATGCTCAGCGACAAACGGATGTGGCAGCGCCCTTAGAATGCTTGCAGCCGTGGGAACAATGTTGGCATTGTCGATGTCGATTCGCAACTACTTGAACAGACCGACCACAAGACGGTCCCGCATGTTCGGCCCTTGACGGGAAAACAGCTAACGGGCATGATGAGCTGGTCCGCTTTGACCTCCTCCGCCCACTCGTGTTCCTTCCACCTCCTCATACCCCCTCCTCCCCATCCCCCTCCCTCTTCGGGCGTTGGCGGAACTGGGTACAGTGGGACCCAGTTTAGTGATGATGTCTATCGCCGAAGGGCGCCCCCCAATCCCACTCCACTAAGCGGATCTGCCGTCGCCCGGAGAAACACCGTCTATGGCAGACTTGGTTTAGTGATTCCAGACGATGTTCAGAACTTCGGGGCCCCAATCACTATCCGGCCCCACTTCACCCGAGGTCCTAGCTATATCCGACCTCACCCCGCTCTCCTGTCCCTGCAGCCCCCCCCCACCCCCATCCTGGAGAGGTCGCCCAGGGCGGCCGACAGGAAGGCCTGGAAGGGCCCTCGGGCAGGGTCGCCCACCTCCCGCCACGCCTCGGGAGAAATGCCGCGTCTCTTGAAAGGGGGAGGCAGGATGGAGAACATCCACGAGTGCGCCGAAGACGAGGGCGACGATGACGACGCCGTCGAGGGCGACACAGGCGACAAGGACGATGATGATGACGAGGACGACAGCAAGAAGGAGGGCGACAACGACGACGTCACGGACGACCCTGGGGTGACTAGGTGCTCTGAGGAAAAGCGTCAAGCAAACAATTTGGTGCGGAAAATGCTGGCATGCGCCTGGCACGCTCTCCGTCTCCGTCGGGGCCCAACATGGCTAATCCAAACACCCGTCTCAAAAAGATGCTTCTGTCACGGGTGGGCTGGGCAATAGCTGGAAGATGCAGGTCTCAGCTGGTACAGGGGGAAGCCGGCCACCGACGATCCCCAAATTTACAGAAGTTGGCGCAGGAGCGGTCTAAGGCGGTCAGAAGCCTCAGTGACCGCGCGCGCCTCGCTGGACCGTATGGCGGCATGCGCTGAAGGGCCCATTGGTCCAGAAGGCTGGGAGTGGGGGGTGGCTATCTTTGGCAGCAGCTGGAGAAGTAGGTCAGCACCGCTCCCGCCAGCGGTCGCCCACACTCTGGCCGTGTTAGCTCTACAGCCATGGCTAAAATGTCCGCAGTGGCCCAGGCATCCCAACTCCGCGAACACACGCACGACGGTCTGCTGTTTTCAAGCCTTCGGCATCCGGAACCAGGGCCGTCAAAAACACATCCAGGATGAGCAGGTTGTCCCACGGACGAAGTCGCGACATCTACGGGACTGCGTCACGAAAATAATGAAAATGCGAAGACAAAAGGCAATGGGGAAAACGCACGCGCGCAGGAAGAGCAGCAAGAATAGTCAGAAGGAGGAGGCGTATACATGCTGCCCTCGGCCCTCGGAGTCCTCTCTCATACTCCCACCTCTCCTCCTCCTCCTCCT